CTGCAGGGGCTTTCTTTCGTTGGCGGGCGCTGCCGCTCCGGGGGCATGAGCTCCCGTGCCCCCCGCGCGGCTTCCGCCGGGCGCCCCGCGCGGCTTCCCTAGTAGAACTAAATTCTATGTGAATTAATGTGATTCTCTGGTCTTTGGTGACAGGTTTCATGGACCCAGGCACTACGGACCATCGTTAAAAACTGTTATAAGCAGCATGGGCGGGAGGACCTTTTATACGCTTTTGAAGATCAGCAAACACAGACACAGGCCACAGCCACACACAGTATAGCCCACCTCGTACCGTCACAGACAGTAGTCCAAACCTTTAGTAACCCTGATGGCACTGTTTCGCTTATCCAGGTGAGTAAACCCAGCATCTGCCAGGCGGTGCTCTCTGAGCTGGGTCAGAGGGCACTTCATTCAGACACAAGGAAGTTTTTCTTTTTTTGCAAGCTTTGGTGTGAACTTTCTGTGGCTCCTGTAGATCTTCCCATCTGAAGTTGATTTCTGAAGAATATTTTAAACTGCACGCATCGTGCTAACTGCAGAGCTACGAGTAGCTTTCCTGGACATTTCCAAAACAAAGCACTTTAGGATGGCTACTTGGGCCAGCCCTGTGACCTGGTGGTTAAGGGGGCTAGTTCCCATACGGCCAAGTGCATGGTTGGAATCCTAGCCCTGGTGGCTTGAAAAACACACCCAGGCAGGATTTGGGAAATATTACAATGTGACTGCACCCTCTCCTTCTCTCGTCTCTCTCTGGCAAGTGCATGTACCTTCTGGGGTGAGGGAAAGGGGTGGCTTCTTTTTTAATTAAATACTGTTTTACCATCAATGACAGGGAGTATTACATCTTCTTTATTTATGTATGTATTTATTTATTTATTTGGAGAGGTTTTTGCTATAGGGCATGTGTGCTCGCCAGAAAGACAAAGAGAGACAGAAATCGAGGAATCACCCCGCGGGGGGGGATGGTCACGCCGCAATCCCTTCTTCTCGGGATCTTGGTTACACATGCACACGCGCCTGGCGTGAGTTTTAAGCCACCCAGTTTGGGACTCAAACTGCGGTCAACTACATGGGAGTCCAGTGACCTAGCCATTACACCAACTGCTGGTCCCCTCAATTACATCTTCTTATCAGTTTATTAATAGCTAGAATGTTCAGATTGGGATCAGAGTAAATATTTGGTTTACTGACACTGGGTACTGGGGGTGCGAAATGTGATGGTTCCTCTAATACCTACCAATTTATTCATTTAAGGTAAAATTCCAAAACATAAGTAAGTTTCTGAGATGATTTATTAACTCATTTCATATCACAGAGCATCACTTACCATATATCTGTGCAGAATCTGGGGTTAAATGCATCTTAGCTTCTGAGTAAAGGAGAGGTAGAAAGATCCATCCACTGATACCACCTTCTGTATTTTTCTTTAGGTTGGGACAGGGGCAACAGTAGCCACATTAGCTGATGCTTCAGAATTGCCCACCACAGTCACTGTTGCCCAGGTGAATTATTCTGCTGTGGCCGACGGAGAGGTAAGAAAATTCTATCTGCATCTTCTTCACTATTTGAATATACAGACATGGGAGAAATAAGGGTCCAAATGAGTAAATAGCCTACACATCTGTAGCATTATTAGTTCTTTAAGTTTATTCATTTATTCATTCCATGAGACAGACAGACAGACAGGTTTGTCCAGTAGAACCCCTGCACTGTGCTTTGACCCCACCCCCAGCCCTAGCCAGCCAGAATCACAGGCATGCATATGCACAGCCCATGTATACAGAGAGCTCCTGGGAAAGGAATCCGGGACTCCCCATATGGCTTCAGCATGAGGATTGTTTTGTTCCTGGTGCACCACTGTAGCTGGCCTATGGCATTCTTTTTTAAACATTAATTAGCATTGGATCAGAATGGTTTCAGAAAGTATTTTATGCTATATATATTAATTATAACCATTGAAATTCATGCATTATTATGTCTCAAACACAACTGTCAGGAACGTGACAATTTTACATTTGCAATACAGCATTTTGTATAATCGATCAAAAGGGATCCCTTTCATACTTTTATACTGTGAGTCCCAAAGAATTTTGTTTGAGGCTTTATAGAAAATAAATTGGTTTATTAAAACTAGAGCTGACAGGGCCAGTAGGTGGTGTGGTGACTAAGACACTGGATCCCATGTGACTAACTGTGGTTTTGAGTCCCTGACCTGTTGGCTTGAATATCATGCCGGGTGCCTGTGCATGCTTGACCAGAATCCCGAAAGGAGAAATGGAGAAAAGATTGCAGTGTAGCCATGCCCCTTGATGGGGTGCTTTCTCACTTTCCATCTCTCTCTCTCTGTCTCTGTCTCTGTCTCTTTAGCTAGCACATACACCCTCTAGCAGATTTAAAGAAAAGAAACATTCTACCTCCTTATACTTAACATCTTTTCTCATACAGTACAGGAAGTACTTTATAAATGATACCTATACTTTCAGAAGTTGTAAGGTCTTTTTATCATCCCAACCTTACCAGCAAGAGCACTTACTGTTTGATCACAATGGCTTCCACATCCAGTTACATTGTTATATATAGGAGAAGGACCATTTGGAGGCTGAGTGTGGTAAAAATACTCAATATCTGAATAGTTACAAGAGGCCAGAGGAACATTGGTAATATCTGGAGACATTTTTGTGAAACCATAATTTCTCCTCCATTAAAAAGAAAGCAGTTTTTGGGGGCCAGCAGGTGACTTGGTGGTTAGGGGCACCAGGCTCCCACATGGCCAACCGCAGTTCGAGTGCTGGACTTGGCAACTTGCTCTCTCTCTCTTCCCCTCTCTCCCCCTCTCTCTCCCTCTTTCTCCCTCCCCCCCTCTCTCTCCCTCTCTCCTTCTCTCCCTCTCTCCCTCTCTCCCTCTCTCCCTCTCTTCCTCTCCCTCTCTGGTCAAATTAAAAAATAAGCAAATAAATAAATTTAAGTAAAATAATTATTTTTTTAAAAGCAGGTTTTTTTACTACATTAAAACCTTTTTTTATTTGTTTTTGTTGAGTTTGATGTTTTACTTCTGAAATAAAAATGCAAAAGAACTTTGATCTATAATTATATATGTAGGAATTAACCCTATAAATAATACTCACATATGCTATATAAAATAGCATATACATATATAAGTATATTCATCAGCACTGTTTGTAATAATAAAAGACTAGAAACTATCTTTTAATAAAGATGGCTAGTTAAATAAATCATGGTGTTTCTGTATATCACAGTACTGTTCAGCCATTATTATGAATCATGAATGAATATAGCAGTTTTATATGTTCCAAAATGGAATAATTTCATATGTTGAGTAATATGCTACCATTCTAATTTTTTAAAAGGATTGGGAGTAGAAAGAGGAAATAGTTGTGTGTATATGTGTAAATACGCTTGCATGTAGAGAAGATATTCCTGCAAAGACACATAAGAAATAGGTCGGAGGGTCTGAAGGACTGGGATTATATTTCTTTTGATAGAGTTCGAATTTTTTTCTTTTTCCATGATCTGTTTCTTATGATCTATTTTATATCCTTTAACTTTATGTATTGAATGACAGGTAAAAATTGTATATATTTATCATGTACATGTTTTGAAATATGTATACATTGTGGAGTGGCTAAATGGAGCTAAGTAATATAGTCATTGCTTCACATGCTTATTTTTTGGTAATGAGAACACTTAAAATTTACTCTCAGCAATTTTCAAAACTATAATATATGTTATTAATGAATTGTTTATAATTACATTTATTGCTAATTCAAAAAAATTACTTCATTTTTGAATAGGTAATATATTGATGTAGTTCAAAATAAAAAAATAACTTTTAAGTATGCAGAGAAAGTCTGTCTTTTTGTCTCCCTCCAGCCTGTTTCTTAAGTTCCCACCCTCCCACACACAATAAGAACAATAGTTTCAGTGTTTTCATATGTCGTCCTAGTATTATGCAAATGTAAGGAAATGTGTATCTCCTTTTTTACACAGAAGAGAGCATACTAAAGACCCTGGTCTTGTCTTAGCATTGTAGGTCAAGTTAATTTAAAAGTATATATGTACTAAAAACATATGTATTTATTAGAAAAAATAATTTTTAAACCAAACTCTTTGTGGCTTTGATTTTTTTAGTATCTTTTTCTTTCTGCCTCAGGTGGAACAAAATTGGGCCACGTTACAGGGAGGTGAGATGACCATCCAGACGACGCAAGCATCAGAGGCCACCCAAGCTGTAGCATCATTGGCAGAGGCTGCAGTGGCAGCGTCTCAGGAGATGCAGCAGGGAGCTACGGTCACCATGGCACTTAACAGGTAGAAGCAGGCATGAGGGAATAAATGAGCATCACGGGCTCGCCGACGGCGTGGTGAAGTGGCCAAATCCCACATGACCAGCTTTGTGGTTTGAGTCCTTAACCCAGAGGCTTGAAAATGATACAGGGTACACGTACATGCGTGCCCAAAATCCCAAGAGAAGAGTGGAGGAGAAGGGACTGTGGCATTGTCATCCCCTCTGGGGGGAGTGACTTCTCACTCCCCTCCCCTCTCTTTCTCTCTTCCTCTCTCCAGCGAATGCACACACTACAGCAAAAACTTTAAAACAAAAAACGAGGGTCACAAATGAGTACTGTGAAGGCCATGGGAAGAGAAATGTTGTACTTCAGCCTGTCACAACTGACAGTGGGAAATTAACATTCTCGGCCCCTCTGATACTGTCTTAATAGGCTGGCTTGCTTATATTAAGTTCTCATCAAGAAAAATCGAACCTTTTGGTTCCTTTGACTGGTTGTTGACAGGAAGGATCAACCCTGTATCATTCTGCTTCATTCCTGAGACAATTTTATTTTCAGTGGTCCCAGTGATTTTAATTAGTAGTTAGGAGTGTGGTCCTTGAAGCCAGGCTAGCTGGATTTAAAGCCCAGCTCTGTCACTTACTAGCTATTGGACCTTGGGCAATTTCTTGGAACTTTCAGTGACCAGCCTCTCCTGTTCTGTAAAATGAGGAAAAAGCGGTAATAGCAGTACCTGCCTTGTGAGGTACTAAGAACTGGATCAAAATTCCATGTGAGAGCCTTAGATCAGTGCCTGGCGTGCAGCCAGGGCTGCCGTTAACCATTGTGCTCAGCGGCTCTTGGGTCATCACTGAACTCTCGACAAGTGCCACCACTCCACTGGGTAAGGTTGTAAATAAAGAATGCTTTAAAAAGAGAGAGAGAGAGTGCTTTAACATCAATTTCTGCCCTTAAAGAAATCCTACTCTTACTGGGGAAACCGATTTAAGTAAAATACTGAGCAAACATCATCATTTGAGTGTAAGTCACTATTAAACTTGCTGTATAGACTGTGAACATTGTAGTTCACAGGGAAGTCACCCTCCTCAGCAAATAGAAAAATGGGCTTACTTTGAGATTGATTTTAGTAAATACTAGAAAGCCATGGCAGTTTTGTGCACAATTTACACAGTATAGGCAGTATAGTAAAGTGGTTGAGAAGAGGGTTCCAAGGTCACTTAGATTCAAGTTTGAAGCCTAGTTCTACCACTTACTGCTTTTAAGGAACTTAACACCTAAACCTTTGTTTCTTCATCATTGTGATGAGAAAAATATTTATCACAGACTCAAAAAGAGTCTATGAAATGATGTATATGAAACTCTCATCAGGGCCTGCAGGTGGTGTAGTGGTTAAGGCACTGCATTCCCATATGCCGATCGCTGTTTGTGTCCCAGACCTGCTAGCTTGCTTTCTCACTTTCCCGCTCTCTCTGTGTATCTCTGGTCAAATTAAAAAACAATGATAATAAGGACCAGCAGATGGTGTAATGGTTACATTGCGGGACTCCCATGTAGTCAACTGCAGTTTGAATCCTGGACCTAGAGACTTACAAACTCATACTAGGTGTATGGGTGTGTGCATGTATGTGTGTTCATGCACACATGTGCCCAACATCTCAAAAGGAAAATAGAGGAGAAGGGATTGTGGCGTGGCCATCCTCCTGGGGAGTGATTTTTTTGCTTTCTGTCTTTGTTTCTTCCTATGTCTCCAGCAAGTACACATGCCCTATAGGGAAAATATCTCTCCCCAAAAAAGGGGGGGGGATAATAAATGAAATTAAATAAAATAATCCTTAAAAGAAAAGCTTTTACCTAGGACCAGCAGTTGGCGTAATGGCTATGTTGCTGGACTCCCATGTAGTCGACCACAGTTAGAGTCCCTGACCCAGTGGCTTAAACTCACGCCAGGCGCATGTGCATACATGCCCAATATCCTGAGAGGAGAATGGAGGAGAAGGGGTTGTGGTGTGGCCCTCTCCCCTGGGGGGATAATTTCTCGCTTTCTATCTCTCTGTCTTTCTGGCAAGTACACATGCCCTATAGCAAAAAAACTCTCAAAAAAAAAAAAAAAAAGAAAGAAAAATTGTTATCACATAAAACAATGTTCAGCCTATAATTGGCAAATTGGGAATTACAGTTATTAGTATTTAACTATTTAAAATGCTTTCTCTCTTTAAGAGGTTTTTGACTTAGAGGTACGGGCAGTTGACAGAGAAAGAGACAGAGACAGTGAGAGGGAAAGTGAGAAATCGCCCCCCAGGGGGATGGCCATGCTGTAACCCCTTCTCCATTCTCTTCTCAGGATCTCAGGGATGGACGCACACACACCCAGCATGATTTTCAAACTACTAGGTCTGGGACTCATATCATAGTCAGCCATGTGGGAGTCTAGCGACGTAATCGCCACACTATCTGCCTGCCCGATTTAAATTACATTTTAAGATGTGTCTATGCAGAATCGATGAGAATGAGAAGAGCTTAGAAGAGGCAATCTGGGTGTAACTTGTTATAGGATTGGAAACTCAGGTAGTAAGAATGGAGAAAAAGTGACCGATTTTAAAGTATGGCCGGGATTCAGTGGTTGATTAGGAATAGAAAACTGAAATGTGCTTGCGCGCGCACACACACACACACACGCTCTTTCCTCTCAGAGTTATCTAAGCAAGTCCCTATGTGACCTAGGATTGAAACCTCTTTCTCAGTCCATTGAACCACGTAGCTTTTCAGTAATATGAACATTTTATTTCATTTAATTTTGTTGAATCCCACTCCTTTCTTTAAAAGAGGACACCAAAGAAACTTCCTTAAAGGCATGACCAGAGTGTCCACCTCCCTCCCTTTAGTTTGATAACCCCTCAGTGAAGCACGGGTCATAATAGGCCCTCCTTAAAGACCAGCAAGACTTGATTTCCCTGAGACTACCTTGGATCTTCCGGTGAAGTGTGAGTGTCCTGGGAACCCTGTGCATGGTGGAAAATATGAGGCACATGCTGACTCCCTTTGCTGTAAGGACCGGGGCTTATTTCTAAAGGCAGCGAGGGTAATGGCATCCCCTGAGGCCTTGTTAACAAACTCAGATGCAGCTGAGGTGGCCACAGTGTTTACTCCAAAGGAAGGAGAATGTGGTTCACTGTGGCACGTAGGAGTAAAGAGATGTTGAAATCTGTTTGCAATCAGATAGTTCAGTGCCCCAATGAGTCTTGGGGGTGGTAAATTGTAGCTTCTGCTGAAGGTAAAGAAACTGAGCCTGGCAGCAAGAATAAGCCATAGGAAGCTCTTAGGGGGAATACCAGAAGCTTTCTGAATCCTAGAGAAGTGACTCACTATCTAATGTCTTAGGAGAGTTGGACTTGGGACACAAGCTCTTGGTATTAGCTTTTCTGTGGATGAGACTCAGTGGGACCCTTTATTACCTACACTCATAGCATGTCCACAGAATCCCTACACTCCTAGCATGTCCACAGAATTTATCAGAAGCCATCTCAATGAAAGATACATGGAGAAAACTGGCCTTTGTTCCTATGGTTACTAAGTGATTTTTATCATTTGCCCCCCTCAGCCTGTCTGTTTCAGGTACAGATGGAACAAGCATGGTTCTCTAATAACCACCTGCACCTCTGCACGGTAAACAGCAGATGTAGGCACAGGCTGAGAAGGGACAGGGGTGCTGAGTGTAATGGCAGGTGGGGGGCTAAGAAGACAGGGGGATCAGGACAGATGCAGGACAGAATTGTTTTTCAACCATATTTGTACAAGTCAGAACAAGGGCCCTGGGCTCCTCATCCATTAGCCCACCTGGCTTCATGACAACCCAAAGGGGTAGGAGGGATTGTCATTTAAAAACCTAAACACTGGGACTGGCACTGGATTCCCACTTGGTCGACCTCAGTTCGAGTCTTGGACGTGTCAGTTTGCTTTCTCATTTTCCCTTTCTCTCTCTCCCTGTCTCATTTGATTCTCTCTGGTCAGATTAAGAAAAATAATAATTCTGATTAATAAAATTAAAATAATTATTTGAAAAAATAAAAACCTAAAGATTTGTTAATTTTAGTTTTCAATATAAGGGTAAGTCAGAACTTTTTGGAAGAATGTAGGGAGGGAATCAAAGTGAATAAATGAAGAGCAAAGCATCACAGCTTAAAGAAAATTGAGCTGTTCAGTCTGAACAACTAGAGAAGAAAGGAAGTGATATCATTTACTTGATTTGCATAGTTTATCAACTTCAGGTTCCTGTTCTTTGGCTAAGATCATGGGACATATAGTTTCTTTATTTTTGTCTTAAAGACAAGGTATTTCTTGCTGTTTTGCAGTCCTCCTGCCTCAGGCTCCTGAGGAGCTGGGACCACAGGTGCACACTGCCTTACCTGGTTCTTCTTCAGATAGGCTCTCATGATGTTGCTCAAGCCTCCCTCAAGCTGGCGGTCCTACTGCCTCAGCTTCCCCAAGTTGTTGGGATCACGGTGCATACCACCATGCTCAGTTGTCAGTTGGGCTAGGAACCAAACCCAGGCCTCTCATGTGTCCCAGCCTACAGAGCAGAGAGCACCATCGCAGCTGGGCCTTACACGTTCTTATGCAACATCAGTTCTTAAATGTACCTTGGGCAGTGCTTACATATAGAGACCATGCTGTGGGTGAGTAGGCAGAATCTGCATTTACCTTAGAAGAAGCTCACTTCTACTGTGTCACAGCCACCGACTACACAGCACCTACTGTGCGCTTACTGCACACAGCTCCGTGGGGAAGCACATGGCTTAGATCAAGTCCTCCTCGCAAGGAGTTTAGAATGTGTCTTTGTTTTGCTATGAAGATTTTGCTTAAAAAAGAAGTGAACCAGACCAGCAGATGGCAGAGAGGTTAAGGTGGCTGGATCCCACATGTCTAAATATGTGTTTTAAGTCCTAGATGCAGCAGCTTGAAAATCGCACTGGGCACACATGCATACATGCCCCAAAATCCCGAGAAGGGAATGGAATAGAGGGG